CCTATGTACATATCATTCACATATAATTAAAACTTTATGTAGTAGAACAAGTTATTTATGAAAATGTTGACCAATTTTTGTTAATTTGTGGTTTGGAAGGATAGTTAACTTCCAAGCTCACTCTGACACTAGGTTCTAAATCTTCATTGTGGGGATTTATATTCCAAATATCATTATTTTTCCTTTCACAATTATCTTGTCTCACACACATCAGAAAAGTAAAGGTTAGAAATGCAACATATCTGAAATTTATCCTTTGTGTGTTAGTCAAAATGTACTGTGTACTGGATTCTTTCCCTAGATTACCTGTTAGTATATTCTTCAAAATTTTTTGCACATTTTTTTCTTTTAACTGTTCTTTTTCCCTATTTGTCTAATTTCTGTTTGTCCCTGAGTCTACAGTACATATTTTTGTATATATTCCACTGATTCTTGTAAGAGAGAGACATAGATAGAGAGAGAAAGACAAAAGGATAGAAGATTAGGGATAAAGAGAGAGAATAGGAATATAATTTTTGTGATAACCAATCAATACATTAATATATATTTTCACTATTCATTGATTGCTTTCTGAACTATTTTATTAATATAACTATTCAAAATAAATGACTACTTATTATAAAATATTGGCGTGTGTGTGTGTGCTCTCATAAATAATGTGTAGGTTGTATTTAAAAAAAATCAGTTTATTATAGCTCTGTTTACAAATAGCCAAGATATAGAACCAATTTAAATGTCGATTAATGGATGATTGGATAAGAAAACTGTGGTATATATACACCATGGAATACTACTCTGCCATAAAAAAGAATGAAATACTCCTATTTGCAACAACATGGATGAACCTGGAGAAACTTATGTTGAGTGAAATAAGCAAAGCACAGAGGGATAAATACCACATGTGCTCACTCATATGTGGGAGCTAAGAGAGAAAGGAAGGAAGGAAAGAAAGACCACAGTAGTACGAAGTTCTGACAGAGGGCGGGAACATTCCTAGGGCTACAAATTGAAGTTGAGGGGAGAGGGGGTGGGGAAAGATGTTGGAGGATAATTGGAAGGGGACAAAGTGTACAAAAGCAATTTCTGGTAATGGGTATGTCTCCAATTTGAAACTGGCCCCCACATCATGGGCAGGAGTGGGGATAATCAGCTTTGTATCTCATGAATATTTAAAATAAATAAATAAATAAATAAATAAATAAATAAATAAATAAATAAATATAAATAAAAATAAATAAATAAAAAGAAAGAAAGAAATCAGAATTTAACTTGATTATTTACTCTAAATTTTTCTAATTATCAAAGGAGCAAGTTATTTTGTTATCTTTTGTTGCCCCATATTTATGACGTTATTTATTCTATATATCAGAAAAATATTTCAAATGAATCTGTGAAGGCATTTCTGTCATAATATACACATTTGGCTTTTGTTTTATTCTAATTTTACTTGTTTTTTCTCTTTTTGACATACGTGTGTATCCATATGATCAAAGGGTAGTATGTTTCACATCATCAATATAAACCATTTGTAAGTGACTGAATTCACCATGAACCTGTACATCAACATTCCCGTTAACTTTAAACATGATTGGTCAATGATATACTGAAGGAAAAACAAAGTTCACTATCATGAAACATCCCCCCCAACTATAGCAGATCCAGTATTTAATTGTTTCAACAACCATGGCTTTCAATCTCTTTAACTTTTATTTATTTTTTTCTTTTTGCACGTGCAATTTTCCTATTCATATTCCACTGACTGAAAAACATTATGAGGATATGAGGGGAAAATTCCAGAAATAAAAACTACTTTGTGGCAAATATAGTAATTTTATTCTTTTAACAATAGCTTCTATATGGTAGTCCTCCTTATTCACAGGTTAACTCTTTATGGTTTCATTTACAGGTGGTCAACTGAGGTCCAAAAATATCACATAGAAAATTCCAGACAGAAACAATTAATAAGTGTTAAAATTCATGCCATTCAAGTAGTGTGATGAAATTCTGTGCCTCCCCACTCCATCTTGCCTTGGACTTGAATCATCTTTTTGTCCAGAGTATCTGTACTGAATACACTACACTCCTTTATTCACTTAGTAGCCACCTAGTTTTTCAGATTGATTGTCGCAGTATCACCGTGCTTGTGTTCAAGTAACCATTATTTTACCTACTAATGGCCACCAAATGGAAGAGTAGTGATGCTGGCAATTCTGATATGTTAAAGAGAAGTCCTAAAGTGCTTCCTTTAAGTGAAAAAGTGAAAATTCTTGACTTAAAAAGGAGAATAAAAAATCATATGCTGAGGTCGCCAAGACCTACCATAAGAAGGAATCTTCTCTTTATTTGTGAAATTGTGAAAAAGGAAAAAGAATTCATGCTAGTTTTGCTGTTGCACCTCAAACTGCAAAAGGTGCAGCCACAGTGTATGATAAGTGCTTAGTTAAGATGAAAAAGGCATTAAATTTGTTTGTGGAAGACATGGACACACATGTATAGTAAAGGATTCAGTACTATCCATGGTTTCAGGCATTCAGTGTGGGGTCTTAAAACTCCATATGAAACCTTAAAATGTAAGTCTAACTTATCCCATTTTCAAGTCAACTGAAAAATATATTTAAATTTATTTTTTAATTGAAACATAATTGATTGTACATATTTATGGGGTATGGAGTGGACTATCAGTATTTGCGTACAATGTGTGATGATTGAATCAATATTATTAACATGTTCATCATTACAAATTGTAATTATTCTTTGTGTCCCTTACCCAATTTCTGTTTCTCTCTAAACGACCTTATTGTTCCCCCTTTCCCACCTCTAGTAACCATAGGTCTGTTCTCTCCTTTGAAAGTTTGGTATATTATTATGGCCTTTCTTTTCTTTCTTTCTTTCTTTCTTTCTTTCTTTCTTTCTTTCTTTCTTTCTTTCTT